CCGCGCCGACTCTTTCGGGTACCGCTTCGCCAAAGAGGCGGCCGTCAAACTCAACGATGGCGTCGCCTTATCTGAAGTCAGCTTTTATCTCGTTTTACTCTTCAATTTGAACGAAAACATTACATTTATAAAGGATAATAAGGAGTTCCAATATATGGCCGCTGACATTGTGCTGTCGAGACCGGCGACTATTACCGCTGTTTACAACTCCTTCACTATAAATACAAGGGCTCTGTTGAGTGTACGGCCGACGGGAGAGGGCTCTCATTGGACACCAGCTATTCCTCAGGTTCTCAATAGCGAAGACACCGACGGATTGCCGAAAGATTATTACGCGCCGAGAATTGGGGCGGGCGCTGAGGGAAGAGCTGGAGGTGCCGCCGCCTCGAGATCAGCTGAAGAACCGACTTTAGATGACAGGTTTCATCCAATTAACAGCGCTGGTGACAGACATGGATCAGCCGTCGGCCACCGCCCGGCCCTTAAGCGACGCCGACTAAAGGAAGAGTCCGATGGCCTCAACGATAAGTTCTCTGCCGTTGAGGGCAACGGTTCGGCGAAGAGAGGAATTGTTAGCGACTGAATCAGCGCTTAAGTCAAGGATCAGCTCTTTGTATCGTCCATTCGATGATCTCTTAATTATTTTATAGACTTAATTAATAATAAGATGTTTTTTCATGATTTTAATTTACTTTTGAAACTTTTTTTATTACTCAATAGCTTTAGTTAGAGTACAGCAATAATTCATTGTATAATCGCTTTAATCGCTGTACTTTAAAATGTTTACTTTTTCTCTCATATTCAATATTTATAATACCTTTTTTTGACATAAATTCAATGTTTTTTAAATATTTGTTTATTAAAACTTTTAACGAGTCATCAGATTGTGCGCAACATTTGGTCAATTTATTGGTGGATAGATTAGGTCGAGGGTTAGGTGCGGTGATGGGCACAGATCTACTCTCAATTGTAGCTTAAGTTGTGGCTCTCATAGCGATTGTTATAAATTAGTTATCAATTAAATGCAAAAACAGTAATATATTTAATGAACAAAACTTACAATAAAACAAATAATGGGTTTAATTGAAAATTACTAAACAAAACATTACATGTAATTTAGACATAATTGAGTAGTAAATGACATCTCAATCAGTAATTCAATAATCGGCCAAATAGTGGCTCTCATGGGAGAGGAGCCACTGTTTGAGAGCCGGCCCTCCGGTGCCCGAGAAGTTGCCGACCGAACCGTCTTTATTGAGGACGCGATGACACGGAACCAGCAATAGGAAGGGATTGGAGCGCATCGCTGAGCCCACCGCACGGCTCGCACGCGGGTTACCCGCCATCGACGCCAACTCCCCGTAACTCGTCGTTTGACCGAATCTGATCTCATCCTTCAGTGTTGACCACACTTTGCGGTAAAACTCGGCTAAAGAATCCACGAGAGAGAGAGAGAGACAGAGAGAGAGAGAGAGAGAGAGTTAATGGTATGACAAGCGGACAGTCAAACAACTAGTGCTTACAATTGGAAACTGATGGACAAAACTGAACGGTATTGTCGGCCACTGTTTGCTTACGGCCACCAAAATAGTCGGCCAACCNAGAAAGATCAACGGTTCTGAAGAGCGATCTACTCTTTGGTTGACTGGATTGACGTACAGCTGAGGCAAAGAGTCATTGTCTCGGGTGACCAATGGGTAATTGCGGGCCTTTTCTGACGCTTCCTGTTCAGCGATCATCCGCTCCCTATTGATCTTCGCTGACTTCTGCCGCTCGGCCGCCAATTGTCGTTCCAATTGGATCACCTCTCGCCTGGATGTGAACAACTGTTGCTCCAAACTGAATGGCACCTGACATACAAGCGGTCCACTAGAATCGTATCGCAGGTGCGACTCGTGTCGGATTAGTTCCTGACGATATTCCTCGAGTTTCTCTTTAATGGCATTATTCTCTCTCACGAGAGCGTCATTCTTCTGGATCCCCCTTTGGCGGCGGCTCTTAATGCCATCGAACGCGTGACGGACTCTTTGGTGACGCGCTTTCCGCTGTTTCAGCTCCTCTTTCAAGCCAGCGATGATCGCGTCCTTGTCTTCAGCGGTGACCACTTGTTCTTCAATCGGCGTTGTATTGACACCGACCTTCACGGTGTGGGTAGCGGTTCCCAGTCTAACGCTATTGTTGACTGTCATAATGGATCTATTGGTCGGTTGTATCGTTAAATCCAGCGCTGAGATCATATCACTGGCCATAATATAGTTAACGGACTCAACGATAGTATCCGATGTGTTAACCGAAGTCAACGATTGGGTTGTGTGACAATCGGAGCACAAAAACTGCTTTTATCGAAACTCTGAGAATAACTAATGACGCGATTTATATGCAATACAAACAGCAATTAACGGCTGCTCACAATTCTGTTCGTTAACTCTTACTTTTATTGCACATATATTTGCAATCATACATCACTTTTAAATCATGTCATGTAATCAGCGGTACAATACATATCAATTTAATTATTATGGTAAGAATTGGAAACTAAATGTTATATGAGTCCAGTTTTGGTTACTCATTGCTATTATAAGCTAAATATATGATTAAGTGTATAAAAATGCAGATTTTAAACTTTGCATTGCATATAGTTTAGCACATATTATGCTATAAGTGTTGTTCACATTAATAAGGACAGCAAAAAAGGGCGATCTAGAGCTTTTTCACAGAAAAAACTTACTTTAGATAAAGTAATGTTTGACTCATTGCTTTGAACACAACTTTAATATTTGTGAAAATGAATTAGAAAATTGTTTTTTTCTGTGAAGAAAGCTCTAGATCGCCCTTTTTTGCTGTCCTTACACATTAATAAATGCGCTGACCTTTGCCTCAATNTGAAAATGAATTAGAAAATTGTTTTTTTCTGTGAAGAAAGCTCTAGATCGCCCTTTTTTGCTGTCCTTACACATTAATAAATGCGCTGACCTTTGCCTCAATTATTCTTGAAATGAGTGATCATTTTTCTCTTCCCCTTAAGAAAACAGACAAACGTTTCTAAGTTCAAACGCTTCCATAGTTTGAGCTGAATGTCTGTATTTAGGCATACATTCAGCGAAATTACTAAACGTAAAATGTAAATGAAATTAATTGTAAATAATATATAAATATAGTTAACAATATGAAATATGCCCAAAACGTGTACACGTAATCGGGCAACAGCTGTATCGGTCAGCGGGTCAGCGGTATTGGTTGATAATAACCTGTGCTTTACTTGTTGAGTAGCAAATTGGAGTTCCTCTGCCATCACTTCTCTCAACTTATTCTCAATTAATAAAATAAGTTTTACAATATATTACCATTTGTTTTAAATTCATGGTATATTGAATGATATAATCAGTTATTATTCATACTTTATTATTATAGAGTTTTTCATTAAAAATGGGAATATTTAAATCACTATAGAATTAAAATTAGTAATAGTATTCTAATCATATAAATTTTTAAATATATAAATCTATTATAAGATTACACTAACAAAATTTTGTGAAATTATACCATGCCCGTTGTCCGCAATTAATTTTTAACTGTGATTTATTTTCCCGCTCTTTTTCACTACCCTGTCCACTGAACAATTATTAAAGTTTACCGATTAAATTTATATATTTATTTACAGTTTAACCTTTAAAATCACTAAAATGATTGTTTTACACAAAAATATTTTAGTTAAATTAATTTTGGTCACTCTCTATACTATACATTTTTCGGTAAATTTTACCGATTTTCGGGTTCGGGTGCGGATTTGACCATGTTAATTAATTTTCATACTGCTGTAACTTCTAGAATCTTTGAACGTATATAGTATGATCAATTTCATTAATTTAGTTTATTAAAATAGTGCCGAGAAATGTGCCTAGATGAGTGTCTACCGTGGGTTAGTTCGGGACTTGAACATTTCAACTTTGGACCACTGAAAATGATTATTTTAGGAATGATTTTATATGTTATAATATATCAAATTAAAGGTCTAGTTTATGTCTAACTATTACAACTTCAATACTTATAATTAAAAGTAAAATAACATAAATTTAATTAACTATTTAATTTATAAATTATTTCCATTTTTATTGAAAAACTCTTTAATACTTTCGATTACATTTAAATATATTAATTCAAATTATAAACATTTTTACGGCATTTTAATTAATATAAAAACTAAACTTTTAAATCATTGATAATTTGTTAACTTAAATGTAAGATAATTATAAACAAATAAATAAATACCGAAAATAAAATAATAAAAATATAATATAAATGACATTTAAAAATACTATTTCTTATGGACTCTGAGATGTTTAGTAATATTGCCGGCGAGAGAGCACCTGTAGGTACAGCCCGGCCACACACAGGCGTACGGCTTAGCCTTAGTGTGGGTCCGCATGTGATCACTGAGTTTGTCCTTTTCGGAGAAGCGTTTGCCGCACTCCGGCCACGAACACAGGTGTGG